GTGACCGTGACTTACTTGGCCCTCTCTTTTAAAATAACTATTTTAAGTAGTCAGTACTTAATAGCCAATATTGTGTGCACATTAAACATCAAATGATTGTTAACATATTTATTGAGGCTTAACAGCCATACAAGTATGTGAAAGATGGCTCCCTTACATGGCTGTCAGAATTCAATAAACATGTTTAATAATTAATTGGCATTAAGCAAACATAAGTGTCTGAATCTAAATTAAGTGTTCAATGAAGCATATTTCAAACACAGTTGAAACTACAGTAATGTGTTATTATTTAAAGTCCAGACTGTCAATTTCCCTTTTCACATAATCAGAAGTACTGTGTTTTTCCAAAGGTATTGCTGGTTCAGTGGTACTCTGGTTGTGAATACAGCTTACTTCGTTGTACATTGTACCAGGCTATCAAAGAGACATAGAGTATGTGTGTATGTGTATATATGTATATATGTGTGTGTGTGTGTGTGTGTGTGTATGTGTACCCCTATGTGCATACAATTACACTCTTGTTAGAAACTGGTTCAGTGACCAGATCCACAGAGAAGTCAGCTTGGAAGGAGGTCTTTAGTGAATTGCCAAGGGCTCTGTCCTTGGCTCTAGACTTTTCCATATTTTTGTCAATGACTTGGATAAAGATAATGGCTTTGCTGATGATACGAAACTAGAAGAGAGAGCTAATGCATTGATGACAGAGTCAGGACCCCACAAGACTGTAATAACTAGAACATTGGACCAAATTGAAAGTGAAATGTAATAGAGATAAATGTAAAGAAACTTCTCAAGTATACAATAGGTGAACATGATGACATTACTAATGTTCACTCACCAAAATTTTATCTTTTGTTTTTTAATGAGTTGCATGTTCACTTTGAGTAAACCATGTCATCTGAAAACCTTAAGTGGCTAAAGCAGTCTTAGCCTAAATTAAAAGAATCTGAGTGTCTGGGATTTGGGAAGGTTTTGCTATACTCTGCCCTGGTTAGACACTGCCTAGGGTACTCTGTTCAGCTCTGGGCATAAGAATAAGCTGGAAAGCATCCAAAGGAGGATCTCAAAGTCACAGATTAATAGCATCATCTATTTAGAGCTGGAAGGGACCTTAGAGGTCATCTCTTCCAACCGCTTCATTTTATAAGTGAGGAAACCATGGCCCAGAGAGGTTGTCTAAGGTAATAAGGCAGCAAGAGGCAGAGCTGAGATTTGAACCCAGGTTTTTCTGACTGAAGCCCAGCATTCTATCTCCTTCACTAAGCTGCCTCTGTGAGGCTTATTGGAAGGAACTGTGGTGTTTAACCATGGAGAAGAAAATACTCACAGGAGACATGAATAGCTATCTTCAGGTATTTGAAGGGCTTCTTTGTCGAAGAGGGGTTAGATTTCTTCTATAGATTCAGAGGGCAGAACTAGAGCTGAAATCTGAAAAGATACAAAGAGAGGCTTACCATAAGGATAAATTGTCCAACAATTAAGATTTTCCAAAAGCAGAAAGGACTATTGAAAGGGTTCCCTATCTCTTGGGGTCTTTAAGCAAATGTCAGCTGCTCGTATGTCATGAATGTTGTTGAAGGGATCCTTGATTAAATATGGGCTGTCCTAGATGGTCTGTGAGATCCACCCAATGTGGAGAGTCACCGTTTCTCTATTCTTTTTCACTAAAGTCTTACTCTAATCCCTCATTTTGAGACAGAGGAGATTCAGGGGTTTTTGAAGATTATGTCAATGGAGGACAAGCTCTGGTGGGTCCCTACCAAATTGAACAAGTTTTTGAGTATGGGCTCAGTAACAGACTTTGTTTCTCTCATTTGAGAATCAGGTTAGCTAAGTTCAAAGATACTCATCTCCAGAAGGTTGTTATCTACAAGGGCATGGAGTACCCACATCATCAAAACCAGGAGTCTTCCGAAGTATGTGTGCAAGAAATACTCTTACTATAGATAATGTTCTACAACAGACTAGTGGCAAACATTAGATGAGATAGCTAATAGTCTATTTAGTACTAATCCAAACATTAGAGAAATCATCATTCAGGCTGAACATATTAAGTTGCCAGGAGGCCATCTCCGGTCATCCTGATCTATATCGTGCCACTGGATCCAGATAGAGAAGAAAGTGAGACCGGTGACTTTGCACAGTCCTCCCTCACTTAAATCCAATTCACTTGCAAGCATCACCTTCCTAATCTTATGGTCTTCTTTGAGAACAAAGGACAAATAGTTGCAAGTCAATCCTAAAGATGAAGCCTTCTGATGGCTGAGCTTTTGTACTACTTTTTGTACAACTTGTTTAGCCATTCCCCAACTGATGGATATCCCCTCAATTTCCAATTCTTTGCCACCACAAAAAGAGCTACTATAAATATTTTTGTACATGTGGGTCCTTTTACCATTTGTATGATCTCTTTAGGATACAGACCTAGAAGTGGTATTGCTGAGTCAAAGGGTATGCACATTTTTGTAGCCCTTTGGGCATAGTTCCAAATTGCTCTCAAAATGGTTGGATCAGTTCATAACTCCACCAACAATGCATTAGTGTTCCAATTTTCCCATATCTTCTCCAGCATTTATCATTTTTCTGTTTTGCTGGGAACCAGACCTCCATGTCACATCCTGGCTGTTTCCACCTCCTCCCTATCTTTCTACCTCCCCTTGAAGATATTATCCTCTTTAATTAGAATGTAAGTTGTGGATAGAGTGCCAGGCCTGGAATCAGGAACACTCAACTTCCTGAGTTCAAATCTGGCCTCAGACACTTAATAGCTATGTGACCCTGGGCAAATCACTTAACCCTGTTTGCCTTAGTTTCTTCATCTGTAAAATGAGCTGGAGAAGGAAATGGCAAAGAACTCCAGTATCTTTGCCAAGAAAACCCCAAATGGGGTGATGAAGAGTAGAACATTTCTGAAACAAATGAATAGCAAAAAAGCTTCTTGAGGGTAGGAACTGTCTTGCTTATTTGTATTTGAATCCCCAGTGTTAAACATAGTGCCTGGCACGTGATAAATACTTAACAAATGCTCTATCTATGCAATGAAAAAAAGAAAAGAGAGAGATGAAGCCACTAAATCAGAAGTGTGCTCTTACCTCAACTGGATATCATCTAGTCAGGAGCTTGGACGTTATCTAACTATTCAGACTGGTGGGAGGCTTGTTCTCATGTTGAATATTGACTATATTTAACCTACTAGATTCTTTTAAAGGGAAGCAGCTTGTAGCCCCTAAAACTAGGTTCCTTTGAGAAGAAGGGGGAAAAAAAAGCTGTCTTTAAAAGAAGCCAGAGTTTTCTTTTTCTTCTAAAGTAAACAAATAAGCTTTTATCACAATATCACATATGCTGGCAAATTAAAGGGAATTCAAGAAGTGGAAGAATTCCAAATGACAAACAAGCCCAAGAAGCTAGACTTAAAAAGATGGAAAAGGAATGCTTAAAAATCCCAAACATGTAAGCTTATAATAAAACATGGCCCAGTGACTTTACGTAAAGAATTGTTCGAATTCACAGAGCGTATTCACTAGAGCTTCATGGAATTGGCAGCAGCTCTTAGCTTCCCCTGGGCTTTAGCTTAGAACCTTGACCTTTAGCAAACAAATTGCAATGTTTTGGGTTTCCCAAACTCCACTGCCTTTTACTATGTTTGGATCAAACTTGTTTGTGCGTTGGCGTCACAGTCCAGCAGTACTAAACAGTAAAACACAGCTCATGGAGAGAGGCAAATAAAATGCCTCCATGAAAATGAAAAGGCATTGTTCGTTGGTGAAAAATTTATATTATTGTTATTCTTTTGTAATCAAAATGCAAATATTTCAGCTCTTCATGTTTTAATTCGGGATTCTACTCCATATTTGTTTGCTTATTTGTTGAGTGTATAAGTAAGATTACAATAATAAAAAAGGAAATATTAAAATCATAAAAATGAAGAGAACTTTTTCTCCAATCAGCAGTTATTTAGAGTTCATTGATGCTGCTTTAATTTCACCTTTGTCGAGGTGGGGACACTTCTTATTTTGTGACCATATCCATCATATCCCCCGAGTCCTCTTACTCTAGGAATGGCCCCTACTGATTAAGCCGGGAAATCATGTTACCCTAAGAGTCAGACAATGTTTGAGATTTGTGTTTACGGAAAGAAACACCTTGCCAACTCTCTTTGACATTTGATGGTCCTGGAAATGTGACATGTGAGGAAACCGAGGCTCAGAAAGATTGATACTTTTTCAAGGTCACAAGTAGTAAGTAGCAGAGTTGAGATTTCTAACCAGATATTCTGAATCTAAATCTAGTGTCCTTTCTTATTGTTGTTGTTATTGTTGTTTAGTTGTGTTCAACTCATTTGCGACCCCATTGGGGGTTTTCTTAGCAAAGATACTGAAGTTTTGCCTTCTTTTTTTTTTTCGTTTCATAGATGAGGAAACTGAGACAAACAGGGTTAAGCGACTTGCCCAGGTTCACACAGCTAGTACGTGTCTGAGGCTGGATTTGAACTCACATCTTCCTACCACACTATTCAATGAATAAGACTTGATTTTCTCCTTATCCCAATCACTGACTTTCCTTTCTAGATAGTGGGAGATTTCTTTTGTTTTATTTCTCTGTCCTTGCCAAACTTCCTGGCATGTTCCAAAGTTCATTTAAAGAAATGTTTTGCCGATGCCTTTTGTTTTATATCGTAGTAATTTATTAAACAGCTCTTCACTCCCCCACCCCTCCCCATCAAACCTTTCCCTGTAACAAAGAAAAAGAGTTGATCAGCAATACCTGATGCAGTGACAGTGTACATAGCATTCTGCCCTTGAGTCTCTCCACCTCTCCATAAGAGGAAGAAGATATATTTCATTGTGTTGGCACATTATTGATCTTTCAGTTATTCAGAATTCAATGAAGCACACTTTCTAAAGTTTTTGCTTTGGTGTTGATGATCTTCTAATTTGGATATGTTCAATTTTTCTTCCTCTCTCTCTCTCTCTTTCTCTTCCCTCCAATGGAAACCACAGCTTCTAAGGATGACGATAGCAAAACAGAGACTAGGTGATGAAGAAATTGGGGCCCGCCATTTTGCAGCCCATGAACGAGAAGACCTGGTTCAGCAGCTGGAGAGATCTCGGGAGCAAGTAATCATGAATAGACACTGCATGGTGGGGGATGTGTCCGCTCTTGGCAGAGACAGAAAGAAAAGCATAATGCTCCATTGTCCCTCAGAACATGTTATGTATCCTAAGTTGTAAATGACAGGGGGTGGGGGCAATATAAATTATATGTTCTAGCTGGACCCCTTTATACTTGCCACTATGTGCTTTCCTCCTGCTTTACCAATAGAGGCTTTCATTTCCAGTTTCCAGCAGGTCTGTTGTCTAATACAGGAATTACCAATCACTAATTACTTGCAGTAGACTTCAGCGTACTATTGTTATAAACACAACTGGCAACTTTCCCTCCCGGGACTGCTCAGGGAGGAAATAAAATGTGACAAACCAGCTTAAATTTGCAAGTTTGGGCTAAAATGCTGAGCGATGCACCTTCTACCAACTCTCAGCGGGAGGAGGGCCCTAGTTATAGAACCACCATGGGACCCTAGACTTCATTTTCCTTCCTGACTAATTGGTTTTGAAGAGAAGAACAAGATTGCTGGATCTGGAGCAGCTGAAAAAAAAAAGTGGGAGTAGTCTTGTTTGCAAAGCTCTGGCTGATGCTGCAATGGCTGGGATTCTTGGATTTCCTTCCCTCTCCATTTTGCTAATGCTAGTTGGCAAGATTGTCTTCTTTTCCCTCTTCCTGGACAGGCTCCATCTTCTTTCTTGATGATAACAAGGCAAGAACAGAACAGTAGGTCCATGTTGGTTAAGCTTTGTCCCATTACACAATTCATGAGTTCCCTAAATGCCAGTCGTTCCAGGGCACTGTAGTGTTGGTGGCAGGAAAGGTGGCCTGAGAAGGGCTTTCTATGTTAGGGCATTTGCTTTGACTTTCAGATTGAATCCCTGGAACATGACCTACAGGCCTCTGTGGATGAGCTACAGGACATCAAAGAGGAGCGCTCTTCCTATCAGGATAAAGTGGACAGGCTGAACCAAGAACTGAATCATATCCTGGGTGGTCATGAAAACCGCATCATCGATGTGGATGCCCTCTGCATGGAGAACAGGCAAGTACCTGGGGACCCTTGGATACTTTGGCTACATGATAATGATATCTAATAATAGTACTAACATTTACATAGCATTTTCTATGTTCCAGATACTGTACTAAGCACTTTACAATTAATATCTCATTTGACCCTCACAACAACCCTGGGAAGTAGGTGCTTCCCATTTATGATCCTCATTTTACAGATAAGAAAACTGAGACAAACAATAGTTAAGTGATGTGCCCGGGGTCACCCAGCTAGTAAAGGGTCTAAGGCAGGATTTGAACTCAGGTCTTTCTGACTCCAGGCCCAGTGCTCCGGCCATTGTACCACTTAGCTACCCCAGACTGTTGGCCTGATGTCTGAAATGTGTTTGCAGCCCTGATTATGTTATCGTTAGAGCATTGGGGTTGGTAGAGAAAATAGAAAGGAAAGGGAAAAATAAAAACGCACAACCATCTGTGTGGGGAGGTTGAAAGTAAAAGCTACTTGTTATTACAACCAGGAAGGAATAAGGAAAGTAAATTGGGAAATTCCCTGAGCCATTTACTTTCCCTGAGGCAAATCTCAGTGTGAGTATGTGGATGACTGAGTGCTCAGATTGGTGGCTTTTCTTCCTTCTTTTATTCCCCAGTGGAATCATCTTAATGAGAACTATGAAAAAAAAAAAAGGTGTTGATCTCCCTTAGGTGAGCTCCAGGTAAGGCCTGTTTCAAAGTGCTCTGTGCATTTGGGGCACACTTGACCTCAATGACAACCACTTTCAAAAAGGTCACTAGGGTGAATTTCCTCTGTCTTTATTTTTGTGTTAGTGATAAGGAAGCAGACTTAAAACAAGAACAGGGTGTTGGTAAACAGAGAGAAGCATAGTATGAGAAAGGTCCCTTGGCTCTGGAGTCAGAGAGGACCTGGGTTCAAGTCCCACCTAATCTAACAAGTCACTTAACCTGTTGATTCTGCCTTCCTCACACCTCTCCCATATGCCCCCTTCTCTCTTCTGACAGCCACCACCCTTATCACCTCCAACCTAGGATACTGCAATAGCCTTCTGGCTGATCTCTGTCCCTTAAGTCTCTTCCTGCTCTAATTCATCTTCCACTCAACTGTCTGTGATCTTCTTGAATTGTAGGTGAGATGGGGTAACCCTCACCCCTCCCACCCCTCCACCCCCAGGAAACTCCTTATTCAGTTGTTTCAGTCAGGTCTAACTTTTTGTGACCTCATTTGAGGCAAAGATACTGGAGTGATTTGCCATTTCCTTCTCCAGCTCATTTTACAGATGAGGAAAGTGAGGCAAACAAGGTTAAGCGACTTGCCCGAGGTCACACAGCTAGTAAGTGTCTGAGGCAAGATTTGAACTGAGGAAGTTGAGTCTTCCTGACTCCAAGCCCAGTATTCTATTCACTGAGCCAGCTAACTGCCCCTCAATAAACTCCCCTGGCTCCCTATTACTTCCAGGATTAAATATAAATCTTTTGATTGGTTTTTAAAAGCTTTCATAACCTTACCCCTTCCTACTTTTCCAGTCTTCTTCCACCTTACTCGGTTCCCCATACTCTCTGATGCAATGACTTAGGTCTTCTTGGCTTCCCTTACACAAAACATTCTATCTCCTGACTTGGTATGTTTTGACTGGCTGTCCGCTATTCCTAGAATCCTCTCCCTCCTCATCTCTGTCTCCTTTCCCTGGTATCCTTCAAGTCTCAGCTAAAATCCCTACAAGAAGCCTTTCCTGATGGTCCTTATTCTAATGCATTCCCTCTGAGATTATTTCTACTTTATTTTCTCTGTTGCATGTTGTCTCCCCCATTAGGCTGCAGACTCCTTGAGAGCAGGGACTATTTTGGCCTTTCTTTGTATCCCCAGCACTTAGTGTAGTGCCTGGTACATAGTAGGTGCTTAGTAAATGCTTGTTGACCTGACTTAATTTTCCTGGTTTTCATTTTCTCCATTTGTAAAATGAGGAGGCTAGACTAAATGGTTTCTGCAGTAATTTCTAGCTCTCAATCTATGATCCTCTATTGTTGTTTTTTATCCTCTCTGTTCTCAGTCACTCAGTCACTCACTCCCTCACTCATTCATTCATTCATTCATTCCACAAACATTTATTGTGCTCCTCTCCTGTGTAAAGTGTTGTGCTGGGTGCTGATTCAATAAACCACAGTCCTTGTCATCAGGGAATTTCCAATTGAGTTGGAAGATGAGATAGTTACGTAGGGGAGCATATAAATTAGAATCTGCTAAATGGACTAGTGGATACTTTGAGAACAGATGAGAGAATTATGAAGAATGGAGCTTTTTGTTTCACACATACCTATGTCCTTGTTCCATGTTTTTGTTTTTTTTTCTCTTAGATACCTCCAAGAGAGATTAAAGCAGCTTCATGAAGAGGTCAGCCTACTTAAATCTAATATTGCCAAATATAAGGTAAAGGAATAGTAATGATGATCATGACAAATTGCTATGTCACTCAGCTCATTTCAGTTTGGAGTCATCCTGTACACAAGAGAAGTGTTCCATTGTTATTCCCATGCATAAATTCCAATAAAAGCCTTAATTGTGATAACTTTTTTTTAATCTCATTTTTTGGACATGTGATTTCACTGGTATGGAAACCCCAACTCCTTTGGAAATTCCCTCCACTGCTAAAGATTTTACTTGTTTAGAGCTTAGAGCTACTGCTTTGGGTTCTCTGTGTCCTGTAGAGCACTGCCAACTCTTTTGTCTTATCTGAAAAAGCAGGGATAGCAATCAGTATCATCTTTTACTAACTGCTGCTCCAATTTTGCCCATCTGTAAAATGAGTTTAAGCCCTGCTTCCCCACTTCCTTTCACTTCCTTCAACAGTATTAGCTGGGTTTCCTACTCCCTTCAGCAGAATCAAGATAGCAGCAGCAGCAGCAACATTTACAGAGCATTTTAAGGTTTGCAAAGTGCTTTACAAATATGATCTCATTTAATCCTCACAACAACTCTGGGAAATGGGTACTGTTATTACCCAAATTTTACAAATGAGGAAACTGAGGCAGACAGGTTAAGTGACTTATCCAGGGTCACACAGTAAATATCTGAGGCTGGTTTTGAACTCAGGTCTTCCTGACTCTTAAGTCCAATGCCTCAGATAAGAGGCTTTCTTTAAATGCAAGGCAAGATAACTGTATATTTGGAGTGGGGGTGGCAATGGGGGAGATGGTCCTGGATCTGTCATTTCCTCAGACTAGGGAACCCTCAATGTGAAAACTCCCACCATGATAAAGGTCAGCAACTCCTTTTTATAGTTGCCTGGGCACTGAGAGGTTGTTACTTGCCCGTGATCACCCAGGAGTGGACTTGAGAACCCAGGTCTAATTGACTGTAAGACTGACCCTTCTAGTCCACATGCCATTCTTCCTTTAAAAAAAATGAACATCTCATATAAAACAAATTCCAAATATCTTTTCTTCTATAGGTCTTTGTGTAGCTCCTCATTAGGGATAACATTCTTGGAGACAGCTAGAATATGACGGTGTCCTATTAGCACTCAGGGAGCCCAAAGGCCCCCCTGGGTGTTGAATTCTCTGCTGATATTTGTCCCAAAAACTCCCATGAGACACCAGGCTTCCACATGATGGGAAAAGCTGAGCCTGAAATGCTGTGACCTGAAGCCAGACCGCCCACTAATACGGCAGAATGTCAGGATTCTCCTTGCTTTCATACCTCCTAATTCCAGAACCATCTAGTTTGATAATATCTTATTCTGCAGATGTTAGTTGTAAGTTTTATAATTAGAAAGCCCTCCTGGGTTTTCTCCACATTGAAAATGGATTGATTTCTGTCCCTCAGGGACGTCCTCTGCTCCAGTGCTATACTCATGAGAGAGCCGCCCCATTTTCCCAGCTCTTGACATTAACTTTCCTCTCCGACATCTCCACCAACATTTGCTATATGGCTTGAGGCTTTGTCAGGGCAGAATTCTGCATACACCAAGTCTGTACCGCATGTTTCTAGGCAGAGTTGTAGATTTCTTTTAAACATGTATAATTTATACTTAATGAAATACATATACATCCATACACATATACCCATTTCTGCTCTGAAAGATGTCTTGTTCTTAATCACCTGAAATACTGAATTTCACCCCCTCCCCTTTCTTTCCGCAACTTTGCCCTCTCCCTGTTTCGTTTCCCACCTCCCTGACATTGCCTCCTCTGTTTCCTCTTGTTCTCAAAATGTGCTCTTTTTTCCTATCTTCTTTTCTTCTCTCTCTCTCTCTATTCTTTCCCTGAAAGATCTCATCTAGCCTTTCCAATTAGAATACTGTAATAGTAAATTCTATATTAGAATGCTGTAATTAGAATACTGTATTAGTATGTACATAAGAATACTGTAATAGTAAGCTCTTTGAGGGCAGGGACTGGTTTTTTATTTGTTGTTTGTTTTGTCTTTTGTTTTTGTATCTATCCCCTGACTGAAGTAGGACTAGCACCTCTGGTGTGAGGGCTGCCGGGGCTGCTTATTCACTTCTAGTGCCCACCTGGCATTCAATTCTCACCTGTGCTTCCAAGAAGCTGTAGCATGAGCAGTGCCACACTCTGGTCAACCATCTCAGCAGATGGGCTTAACCAAGTTGAGGGTAACTGATGGGCCTCAAACCCATCAGTGAGTTGAGGGGCTGTCTTCCCCAAGCAGCTACAGAGCACTGGGTCTAGAGTCAGAAAGACCTGAGTTCAAATCTAGCCTCAGATACTTACCAGCTGTGTGACCCTGGCCAAGTCACTTAACCCTTTTTGCCTCAGTTTCCTTATCTGTAAAATGAGCTGGAGAAGGAAATGGCAAACCACTCCAGTATCTCAGCCAAGAAAACCCCAAATGGGGTCATGAAGAGTTGGACACAGCTGAACAACAAATCTATCCCCAGAACCTACCAGAGTCCCTGGCACATATTAGATGCTTAATATATGCTTACTTGATTGGCAGGTTTAGTTTTCCTGCCTGACCCCTGGATCTAGTAACTTTCTGCTTATTGAACTCCTGGCTTTGAACTTGAATTGTACTTAATATTTTGATTTGTTGATTCTGATGGGGTTGGGATCTGGGCCCCAGAAAGGAAAAGCCCTGGATTTTCTTTCTTGGACAAATCTCTGGCATTTGCCTGAGGCTGTAATCCCATCAACTGGCCTTTCATTGTGGCTACACCCAATCTCCACTCCATTGTCTTATCTCCCTATGGCCCCTGGCCATTTCCCCTCCCATCCAGATCTCCTTAGGCCCCTCCTCCCATCACCCCAAACTACTTGGCCACTCCTAGATCCCTCCCACAAGCTTTCTGTATATAAGGTCCATCTTGTCTCCATTAAGATACTTAGATTCTTATAATTTAGCCTCTGCTCACCCATGTTCAGACTCCTTAAAAGTCTGCCCAATATGGCAATGTTCTAATAAACCTTGTCTTTGGCTGAAAGAAGGATTAGGTCGAATTCTTTAGGGCAGGAACTGTGTGTTGTGATTTTGAGGTCCCAGTACCCCTGAACCCCTAAACTGCATCAATTCCATGACTCTAGGTTTGCAATAAAAACTACTGACTATCATTCACACAGGGTGTCCCAAAAGTCTTAGTGCGACTTTATGCTTTAATTCCTAAGCTTTAACAGTGATGATTCTTTTATAATAAAAATAACTTAAGTTTAATCATTTTAAGTATTTTATGTTTTAGTATATAGTGCTATTAAGGTTTTAGAAGCACTTTACTTTTTTACTTCAGAAGCACTTTATTACAACCCTGTGAAGTAGGTATTACAAATGACATTATCCCTATTACAGATAAGAAAATTGAGAAGTGAAGTCCAGGGGTGGCCCATGGTCACACAGCTACTGTAATAAGTGTCTGAGGCAAGATTCACACCCAACTCTTCCAATTATTAAGTCTAGTACATTTTCTATCCTGCTGTGCTGCCTCATTGAATTTAGACCATGGGGGCCTTGCATCCTGTGAATTAGATTTTTGCCTAAAACCTATCCCTATTAATCTGCTAATCTCTGGCACAAACACACCTTCCCACCCCCCTCACCCTCCATATGCTCTCATTTCCTTTGGAAGCTGATGGGAAATGACAGACGGAAAAAATTAAGCGATGTCATTTTATAGTGAGTAACATCCAGGCCAATCTCCCTCCTTCTCCCCCCTCCTCTCCTCAGATCAGCTGAAGGCTGCACAGCTGTGGGCTCAGACAATTTGGGAGCTGCTTTCAGACCTGTTGTGAGCATGAAGTCAGTAATCTAGTTCTGGGGCCAGCCCATGGAACAAGTCCTCTGTCAGCTTAGATGACATGGTGCTTCCATTGTAGCCAGTGCTTAGTCCAGAACTGACTTTTCTGATGAATGAATGTTCTTTTCCAATGTTTCCCTAGAATGCCCTTGAGAGACGGAAAAACTCCAAAGGCCAGAGCAGGTCCAGCAGCAGCAGCAGTAACAGCAGCAGCAGCGCCCTGACTGGAGTCCTGTCTGCAAAGCAAGGTATGGGTCTGAGAGCCTGGAAGGCTCCCAGTGGAGCTGTTGATACCATTTTCCCTCAGTGGCTTTCAGTATCATCTCTTCAGCATCACAGTAATAATAATAGTAATGATAATGATAGCGAGGGGCTGAGTGGCACAATGCCTTGTAACCAGGAAACCTGAGTTCAAGTGTATCTTCTGATGAATTGTAACTGTGGGTCCATAGTCAAGTCTCTCTTGGTGACTGGGCCACTAATGTTAAACTCATATAGAAACAATTCCCTGTAGGAAGCGTATTGACTTAGAAAACCACAAATTAACATTATCTGTGTTGTAAGATATTTCATTTATTTTGTCAAATATTTTCCAATTATATTTTGTTCCAGTTTGGTGCACTTAGATGTTTTGGCCTCAGTGAGTTTAACACCTCTGCTCTGGGACACACTCTCAGACAAGGGTTATTAGTTTGGTATCCATGAACTTTTAATATCTATCTATCTATCTATCTATCTAATATGTATATGATATATGTACATATTTGTGTGTATATACACATCTACATAGAGAAATGATAGAAATATGTATGTATACATCTAAATAGATAGATGATAAAAATAGAAGGCAGAAATAGGATAGATAGATAGACAGGATAGATAGATGATAGATAGATGGATGGACAGGATGGATGGATAGATAGATAGAGAGATAGATAGAGTGAGTTACTTCTTGTTTCAGTAGTTCTGTGATCTTGTTAGTGTGAGTGTTGTCTCTCAGGTACAAATCACAACCCGATACCTCTACCTCTTCTCATCCTATGTAGTTAATTATTGGCTATCTCTTTTATGGATATGTTCCACAAAGGACTTATTCAGTAGATCAAAGGCCTTCCTTTGGATGTTCCAATATTTCCTGGATACTAGTGCAAAACTTCTGACTTGACTTGCTGTCATCCTTCCTTCTTGCGAAATGGCTGCCTACTTTCCTTTATGCTTGTATTTGTTTTGTGTCTTTTATGCTATAAAAATAATTACAGCTTACATAGCTATTCAAAATCACATCATCCTTTCTATCCATTATCTCATTTGACACAACCTTGTGAGTTAGGCAGTGTAGATGTTATTCCCATTTTACAGAAGAGGAAATGGAGGCTTTGAAAAATGAAACAACTTTCCCACGGTCACTGGTTAGATGTGTCACGTAGCTAGTAAGTGGCAGAAATGAGACTGGAGTCTTAGACTTCTTACTCTAGTTCCACCCTGAAAAGAAAGAGTTTCATCCTTGTCCTGTCTCCCAAGATCATAAGCAAGCAAGCAAACAATAAAAACTCTAGCCCCATTCCTGCGAAATCCAACTTACCTTGGGGGATTAGCTGTCTTAAAGAGTAGCACTTACTGACTACAAGTTCATTTGTTTTCATGCTTTATTCAGTTGAAAAATAATGACCTTCTTGTAGCAGAAGAATGGAATAGATAGCAGATAGCTTATCTGTGATAGTGTATATTCAAGAGCTGAGTTTCTAAACCTGGCTCCCAAGGTGACTACAATCAGATGGCCACCTTTCCAGATATTAAGTTGGAAGAAGTCTTAGGTAAGATTTTCATGTGTGAAAGAACAAAGCTCCTATCTCTTTCTTACTGCCTAAAACCACAGTAGATTTCCAAACCTCTGCTCCTACCTACCTTGAAGAAAGTATGCCATTTTGTTTTTCTTGTAGCATGCTAGAAAATATGGCCTCTCTCACTAATGTTAAGCTCAGATCTGAGGAGTTGAGCTCAGTAAAAGTTAAAATGACAAATAATTGATCAGTTCTTGCTGTAGGACTCTGCAAGTAGCAAAGTGGGTGGGAGGAGAGCGGCAGATGTTCTAGGGTATGTGGAGTTTAGCTATGGCTGGTGCCAAGGAGAGGGGGAGGAATGAGGCCAGTAGCTTCTGAGATCTGTTCCAATAACAGTGAACCTAACTAAACATAGAGTTTGTGTGTGTGTATATATATATATGTGTGTGTGTGTGTGTGTATACATGTATATATGTACATATACATTGATATGCATATGCATATACATATAATCTTTCTATAGATATACACATATGTATATACATATACACGTGCACGCACACAATACATATATGTGTGTTTATACATATATACATGCATGAATGTATGTATGCATGCATACATACATACATATGGTCTACAGTGGACAAAGCCAGTAAGATTTGGAGAGGGTCTAAAGTAAGGGGGAAATCACCTTCTTGTTCCTGCATGCTGTATTTGTGTTTTTATTTCCCAGTATTTTGCTTGCTTTCTGTCACGTTTTGCCCCACAGTCATTCTTATTACCTCCATCCTTTTGTGTGTGTAGGAGGATATTTTGCAGAATGCCACACTCTCTTCAGGGTAGATACCAATACAGACACGGAGAGAAAGGAGATGTAGCACCAGAGGAGATGGAGATACATGGGGGCAGTAAAGTCAGAATTTAATCTTACTTAGATAGATCAGACAACGAGCCCCAGGGTGTTTCCAGAGCTAATGGGGCTTCCTTGGATTTTATATCCATAGCTTCTTCCCTAACTAAAGTCATAGTTACCCTGGTTGGATATGTCCATCAGAAAAAAGCACCTCACCACCATCATGGACAGAGAGATAGAAGGAAACTCAGAGATCTTCTAATCCAATCTCCTCTTTTTGCAGATGATGGCGTAGTCAAAGAGCTGCTGAAGTTAGGAGGAATGTGAATTTAAGTCCCAGCAAGTCACTTAGCCTCACTGAGCCTCAGTTTCCTCACCTGTAAAATGAGAGTAATAATACCTCTACTGCCTATCTCATAGGGCTGTAAACCCTAAAGTGCTATAGACATTTGAACTATTTCTGTGAGGCCCAGAGGTGGTGACTTGTCACACAGCTACACCATTTCTATGTCTTCCAATCCGTAGTCCAATGTTGTTGCCACTATAATATGCTGCCTCTTTAATGTGTCAGTCTTTAATCTCTGCTCCTACCTACCTTGGAGAAGGTATGCCATTTTGCTTTTCTTTAAGAAAAGTAGCATACTAGAAAATATGGCCTCTGTCCCTGATAATAAGCTCAGATCTGAGGGGTTGAGCTGAGTAAAAGTTAAAATGACAGATAATTGATCAGTACTTAAAAGACTCCCCATAACTTACAGAATAAAGGTCCACTACCTAAGCTTCCTACTTAAGGTGCTCGCTAACTTCGGCTTGCCTGTTAAGACTCACCTCCCACCATTCCCCTCTGATTCACCCAGACCTATCTCCTCATTGCATCCCAAATACTCCTTCATTGTTTCTTCATTCCAAGCTCCATAAGCAAAGGCATTAGTCATGCTCTCATTTATGCCTAATTGACACTTCTTCATATTCCCTGACTGGGATTTGTCCATTTACTCAAACCTGCATTGCCCAATATTTCCTTTTCTAGGTTGTGTAGGTAGAGAAACCAGACTGGTTCACTGATGTACCATTGAAACATGCCCCTCCCGCTTTCCTATCCTATGCATTCCCATCTCCTATGTTGTTCCTTGACCAAATTAAAACAAAGTAATAGGATTCCCACCATCTTTGGGAAGATCAAAGCAATAGGGTATCCAAGTAGTGGAAAGGAACTTAGAGGTTGTATTTAGCCCTATCATTTTGGAGATGAGAAAACAGTCCCCAGAAAAATGAAGTGATTTAGCCAGAGTCACATAGCTGTTTGATGCCAGAGGTGGGACTGGAACTCATGCCCTTCTGACTTCTAGTCTAGTATTCTTTTTTCCCTACTATGTATTAGTCTTCCATTTCAGAAATGAGCAGGTTGTGATCTGTCTATGGCTTGTGCAAGGTAGAAGGGAGTGGTAAATGTGTGTGTGTGTGTGTGTGTGTGTGTGTGTGTGTACACATACACACATATACACTGTTGTTCATTCATTTCAGTCATGTCCTATTCTTCATGATCCCATTTGGGGTTTTCTTGGCAAAGATACTGGAGTGGTTTGCCATTTCCTTCTTCAGCTCATTTTATAGATGAGGAAACTGAGGCAAACAGTGTTAAGTGACTTGCTCAGTGTCACACAGCTAGTAAGCGTCTGAGGCCAGATTTGAACTCACATATTTCTGACTCCAGCCCAGGTACTCGATGCACTGTGCCAGCTGCTCCTGTATATGTGTGTATACACACACACACACACGGTGCAAATAAAGATATAGTTATATGGTCAAATATAATGAGATAACATTTAACAAGGATAATTTTAAAGCCGTGGGATCATGGATCTAGAGGCAGAAGGGTCTTCAGAAGCCATCCCCTTCATTTTACAGATGGCCAGGGAGGTTACATGACTTTCCCACAGTCATAGAGGTAGTAAGCACCAGAGGCAGCATTTGAATCCAGGTCCTTGTGCCCTTTTTTCTGTACAATACTTCCTCCTGTAATTGGGCTTAAAAAAAAAAATTAACTCCCATCCCCACAGCTATAGGCTGAAGGAGGCATAGAAAAGAAATACCATATGAAAAAGGATTTTTTTCTGGGATTTGAGTGGGCAGCAAATTCAGTATGAGTCTATGCTGTGAAATGGTGGCCCCAAAGCTAGCTAAATCTTAGGTTTCAGTAACAGAGGCACAAAGCAAGTAGGTGGCATAGTAGATGGAGTACTCGCTCTGGAGACAGAAAGAACTGAGTTCAAAGGTAGCCTCAGACACTTACTAGCTGCATAACATTGGACAAGTCACTTAACCCTATTTGCCTCATTTCCTCATCTGTAAAATGAACTGGAGAAGGAAATGGTGGATAGGACTGAACAACAACAACATTCAGAATGAAAAGGTAATAATGACCCCACTCTGTCCCACTGTGATGAGACACTGATGAGTGTTGTGGTCAGTTCTGGGCAGGAAAATTAGACACATGTTAACAAATTGAGGGAGGTGACTAAGGTGGTGAGAGGACAGCAAAGATTGACTGAAGGAAAACAAGACTTAAGGGAAGACATGGCAGCTGTCTTCAAGTCCAAAATGGGTTGTCTTGTAGACGAGCTGGATTTATTCTGCTTACAAAGACCAAAACTAGAAATAGTGGTAGAAGTGGTAAAGAGGACGATTCCATCTGGATAAAAGGAAAAATGCCCTAATAATTAGAACTATCTAAACATGGAATGGGCTGCTTTAGGAAGCTGGGGCTCCCTTATCACTTTGCTATCACTTTATCTAGTAGAGGCCAGATATCACTCATTTGGAGTAGAAAGGATTCAGTTTTCTTTTCCAGTGTGGATTGGACTAAAAGCTCTGAGATCCTTTTTAAGTCTGAATCAGGGAATCAGAATCCTTTGATTTTTGGGATTATTGTGAGAATCAAATGAGATATTTCAAGAAAAGTGATTTATGAGCCTTAAGGCACTGTATAAATGTATTATTATTGTTATTGGCAGTCAGTTGACCAAAGACCCTTCAGAAACAATTCACCTTTTGTGTTGAAAGATCTGCCCTGGACTAGGAATCAGGAGACCTACATTCTACTCCTAACTAGTCCTTAGATGATGTGAAACCTTCAGCAAAGGTGTCACATTTAATTAGCCTTTGCCTCAATTTCCTTGCCTATGAATTAGGAAACATGCTCACTCCACCTACCTCATAGAGTTATTATTCTTTGATTTCCCTAATGTAGAAAAACTGCTTGTGTCAAAGAGGTTGAGTGATTTGTCCATGGTCACAAGGTTATGTGTTAGAGGCAGGATTTAAGAGCCCAAGTCTTCCTGACTCCAAGACCAGCCCTTTATCCAGGGTGCTTCTCAGAAGGTCAATGAGGATCTCATAAAATAACAGAAAAGTGCTTTAGAAAATAAAAACCACTATCCAAATGTAATGCATTATTGTTATATTGTTATTATTATTATTATATTATTATTAATCATCATCAAGCTTCATGAAGCCATTCTTTCTGTATGTCTGTCCCATCGGCCATCGCATTAGCTTTTCCATGTTTGATTCTTTGTATAAAGTTAAAGTGGGCCATCATACCTCCAGGAAGCCATTCTGTGATTGGGAGGGAGGTTACTTAAATCAGAGGGAATGTCATTCATGGTCCATAATAAGTGAAAATCTGAGTTTTGACTTTTTGTCCTCCTCAGTTCAAGATTTATTATCCGAGGATCATGGATGTAGTCTTCCAGCAACACCACAGTCCATTTCGGATCTGAAATCTCTAGCTACTGCCCTGTTAGAGACAATCCACGAGAAAAACATGGTCATTCAGCACCAAAGGCAAACCAACAAGTAGGTACTTAAACTGGAGTGTCCAAGGTTCAGGGCAACCATGAAACCAACAGATATTTATTAAATACCTGCTATGTATTAAGTTCAAGGCACTGTAATAATAATAGTAATAATAATAGCCAGTACTTATAAAGCATGTTGAGGTTTGCAAAGCACTTTATGCCAGCAAACAGTGTGGCTTTCTGCCTGTCTCGAAGATGTGGAGTCCATGGACATATTTCAGGGGATCTGTAAACTAGTATGGAAAAAATTATATTTTTATTTCCATATGATTGGTTTCCTTTTTAATCCTATGTATTTTAATTTTGTTATCTTTAGCAAACACTTCTTATTTCTCATCTCTCCTACTTCTTCCTCCCCAATTAAACAATTAAAAAAAGAAAAAGAAAACCTTCTTAACAAACATGCATAATCAAACTGAAAAACAAATTTCCACATTGGCCATGCCCAAAAATATAAGTCTAATTTCTCATTTTAAGTCCATCACTTCTTTGGCAAGAGGTGAGTAACACGCTTTATCTTCAGCCCTCTGTAATCCTGGTTTATCACTGCTTTGATAAGAGCTCTAAAGTCTTTCCAAGTTATTTTACTTTATAATGTTGTTTTTTGTTGTAGAAATTGCTCTCCTAGCTCTGTCCAAGTCACTCTGTATCAATTCATAGACATCTTTCCAGTTGCCTGTGAAACTGTCTATTTCATCATTTCTTATGGCACAAAAATATTATATTCATATACCACAATTAATTTGGCCATTCCCCATTAGGTAGGTACCTTCTTAGTTTCCAATTTGGCACTATTATGAAAAGAACTACTATAGACATTTTTGTACATTTGAGTGCTTTCTGCGATTGCTTTGAGATATAGACCTAGTTAGTAGTATTGCTGGGTCGAAGGGTATGAAGAGTTTACTGACAACCACTCCAGCATTTGTAATTTTCCTTCTTTGTCCTCTTTGCCAATCTGATGGGTAAGAGGAAGAAACTCAGAATTGCTTTAATTTACATTTGCCTAATTATTAGTGATTTGGAGCATTTTTTCACATGGTTATTGCTTGCCGAAGAATGTCTTCTTTTAAAACTTCCTATCTTTTAACCGTTCATCTCTTGGAGAATGACTCTTGGCCTTATAAATTGGAATTGGTTCCTTATGCATTTAAAGGCATAATTCTGAGAAGGGATTCATAGGTAGACCTCACCAGATTGCCAAATGGGAGTTGATGGCACACAAAAAAGTTAAGAACCCCTGGCCTGCATGAAATGACTTCCTACTTCTCAGGCAGTGTACTGGGCTCAGTACCTTGTAAGAAGAACCTTGGTGTAAAGGGACTGTTTTTTTGATGATGTTTTTAATACCAAGCTTTGATTTTAGGTAACTGAATCACGGGGATTCCACAAAAGCCTGGTCTTGAATGTGGAGAAGGGTTGGGGAGGGGGAGGCAGAAATCACTCCTCCAGCTTCCCCTCCAAAGTATGGAAAATAAAGACAATTATAACTGGATGAATTTTTCTTTGAAAGAGTGTAGAACACTTTGTGGGAAATCAAATAAGTTAGATCAGTGAGTGGAAAGGACAGAGGGGAAATTGAAAGTGTTCAGAGATCGATGAATAAGCTGTAACTCAAAGGCATGCAAACCTTACAAAAATGTACCACAAACCAAAATGAAAGCAAATGCCTTTGGCCAGGACGTTCCAGAAAGGCTGAGTTTAAGGAGAGGGATGGATTTTTGGCCCTGGGGGGTAGGGAGGCAGAAGGCAGGGGTTACAACTAGAAAATGATTGAAGGTATTGTAAAAACAAAATGGAAAAAAGAAAAGATGGAGAATGAAAGGAAGATTGCACAAGAGATTAAGATATATAAAAGAAACCAGAGATCAGTGAAGGGAGACCGGCCAATCTCAAAGGGATGACAAGGGTAATTTATTGACAGAAGAAGTTTTAAAATTCCTTAAAAATGAAATCTTAACCAAGAAATGAAACAGCCAGATGCTGAAAATGCCTGTATTTCTCAGGGGAGGAAGAAGAAATCAGGATCTCACCAGAATAGGTGATGGTTTTGAAAACCCCTTTTATTGTTCTATTTAGGCAAGAGTCTCTGGACCAGGAAACAATTGCTATACAGCCTTAAAGGAACCCAGTAATGTTTTTTTTTTTTTCTTAAACTAGTGCAGTAGAATATCAGAAGACACCGTATATTTTATCAGAAAAAGCATGGCAAAGTGGGATTTTTTTTAAGCTTTCAAGGCTAAGCTAGATGATGATAATACAAATTTATTAAGCCTATGTACTCCCCCATCTCCCCCTAGGAACCAAGCCTAATAAAACATTGACAGACTGAAACCAGGGGACATATTTTGATATTGAGTACTAGGTGATTATTTTCTCCCTCATTTATATTTGTTTGCTTTGTTTTGGTTTTTTTTTTTTTTGATTGTTTTGACCTTTATGGGGGGTGGGGTGCAGAAAAGAGAAAAAAAACAACTTTGGAAACAGTAAATGAGAGAAGTGTGAGTGAGAAAGTACGAAGGATAGTGAGGAGTAAAGAGGACTTAGGAAGGAGGGAATTCTGAGGCAGCCTCCCAAACTCTTTTAGGAAATACACGCCAAAGCTTTTTATAAGGAGCTCCTTTAAAGAAAAGAGCACTTGCTTCTTGAAGGCATAAGAAGAAAGAGAGAAAGAGAAGGAAGGAAGGAAGGAAGAAAAGAAGGAAGGAAGGAAGGAAGGAAGGAAGGGAAAGAGAGTGAGGGAGAAAGGAAGGAAGGAAGGGAAGAAAAAAAGAAAGAAAAGAAAGGAAGGAAGGGAGAGGAGGAAGGGGTGGGAAGAGAGGGAGGGAGAAAGGAAGGAAAGAATTCTAACTTGAAGGTTCTCAACTAAGTTTTTATGTTTTAAAGGGTAACTGTTACATAGATAAGGACCAAAGGATTATTTATTATGGAGAATTAGTTGTAACCACATCAACAGAGGACTGTTTTCATAAGGCAGTCAGTGAAATATCAAAATGTTTTTTTGTTATGTAGTGACTTTTTTTTTGTCATGGGATTTGCTCTAATGGGATTTTCACTAACATATGGTTCATAAATGCGTAAGAAACAGAATAAACTAAAATAAAATGGCTAAAAGACCCATAAAAGCCCAGGGGCAAAACATCTGTGTATGTTATTACTTCTTAGAAGGTGCTACTAAGGGTGCTGAAGGGGGGAGGGGCAAGAAAGTCAAGACCACCTCCTGTCCCAGCTTTCCTAGTGCTCATTCATTCCCATAAGTCCTCTCGTGGTTAGAATGTAACGTCCTTATGAGTGGGCATTGCTTCATTCATTGTATCTTTGTATTTATGGCATATGTATTAGGATACAAATCATATCCATACCAGATAAGTGTAAAATGGATACTGCATTCTTTTTTTTTTTTTTTTGGAGGCAATCAGGGTTAAGTGACTTGCCCAGGGTCACAGGACCAGTGCTTTATCCACTGTACCACCTAGCTGCCCTGATACTGCATTCTTTACAAAAAAAATTCTGGCTTTGCCTTTGTACGCTGCAGGGTTGAGAAAGATGGCTTACTCACTTGTACATTGAAACAAATGAGTTGATTTTCAAATAATAGAGTCTAATGAAATTCAATAAACATTTATTAAACACTTATATGCAAAACACTGTGCTCAATGACAGGAGAGGGAAGTGGGGAGAAAATATTGACATCTCAATAGCTCTTTAGGGCCTTCACAACACCTTTATTAGATAACTCAATTATATTATTATTATCCCTATTTTACAGATTAAAAAAAAAAACCTGAGACTTAGAAAGGTTAGGTGATTGGGCCAGACTCACACTACTGGTAAATGTGAAAGCTGCTCTTTAAATCCAGGTCTCCTGTCAGAACACATGGCTTCTACCCTCAAGGAGCTTATAATCTAGCAATAATCTTTTCTTTTATCTTATTTCTTGCTCTGCTCTTTGGCAAAGATATTTTATCAGTTATTTTTGCTCCATAGAGGATTTTTCATATTTTTTTCTTCTACTACCTTAATGTGATTTCTTGCTTTTAATTTGAATACATCAAAGTGATTTAAAAACAACAAAAATAACGTTTTTCATCAGTTTTCATTTGCTGAATGCTATCGTTTGTTACTACCTCTTTGTTCTGAAATGAGAAGAGGTAGTTTCGATATCCAGAAGCCAAGAGAATAAATCCAGGCATGCTTATGGTGCTCTGGGAAGACAGTATAATACAACAGAAAGAATACTAAATTTGAAGTCAAGAAGACTGAGATTCTAATCCTAGCTCTACCTCTTACTACCTGTATGACCTTGGAGAAGTCACTTGATTTCTCTGAGCCTCAGTTTCTTCATCTCTAAAGTGAAAATGTCATCCTAGATGACTTCTAAATTTCCTTCCAGCCTTAAACCTATGGTTCTATGTTTTAATGTTCCCACTATAAATATTTGGGATTTCCAAGTCTTCCCACTTTCAACAAACTTTTAATCTGGGGGCACCAAGTAGCTATTTTCAATTAACAAACATTTAAATGCCAACTTGTGCCAGGCACTAGGGAGACAAAGACAGAAGTGAAAGAGTCCCTGCCTTCAAGGTTCTTATATTCTGCTGGGGCAGCCACCATGTACATATCTAAATATGAGCCAAATCAACTCAAGGTAATACAAAGAAAGTGGGGAGGATCGAGGAAGTCTTCCTGTAGAAGAAAGTGGTTCTTAAGCTGAGTTTTGAAGAACACAAGGAATTCTAAAAGGTGGAGTTGAGGAAGAAGTACATTCCAGGCAGAGGGTACAGCCAGTGCAAAGACATGGAGGTAGGAGATGGTTTGTGGTATGGGAGAAACACCAAGAAGGTCAGTTTTTAGTGGACTGAAGAGATTGTAATATATAATAAAGCTGGAAGTAAGATTGGAGTCTAGTTGTGAGTAAAGGGCTTTGAATGCCAGACAGTAGAATTTATATTTGATCTTCAAGGCAATGGGAAACAAGTGGAGTTTATTGAGTACAGG